TGGCGCAGGTGCACACGCATGTGCAATCCTTCCCTGGCACACGTGCACACTTGTGCACACCCTTCCCTAGCATGCATGCACACGTGTGCACACCCTTCCCCTTTTCCCTGGCATGTGCGCACACATGTGTGCATTTCCCCCGCGTGCCTGCACACGCGTGTGCAATCCTTCCCTGGCACACAGGCACATGTGTGCCCACCCGTCCCCCTTTCCCTGTCACGTGCACACACGTGTGTGCGTTTCCCCTGCGTGCCTGCACACGTGTGTGCAATCCTTCCTTGGCACGCACGCGCACGCGTGCGCTCACCCTTCCCTGGCACGCGCGCGCACACCTGTTTTGGCACGCGTGTGCGCCCCCCTTCCCCTTCCTTCACCCCCGTCCCCGCCTCCGTCCCCCCCCGCCGGTGCCCTGTCCGACCAGGGACAGGGACAGGGACAGGGACAGGGACGACCCCGCGGGCAGCTGACGCTGAGCCACATGCTGCAGATCGCCACGCAGATCGCTTCGGGCATGGTCTACCTCGCTTCCCTCCACTTCGTCCACCGCGACTTGGCCACCCGTAACTGCTTGGTGGGTCACGACCTGGTAGTGAAAATCGGAGATTTCGGCATGTCCCGCGACATCTACAGCACCGATTATTACCGGGTGAGCGCGGCGCTGAGGCTGCTTCCACCTCCGCGGGGGGCTGGGGCACCATTTTTCCTCTGGCACAATTTTTCCTCTTAGGTACTGCCCACCCCCGCCACCGCCCCCCGAATCCATCTTTGTCCGTATTTAATCGTAGAATCAAGGAATGGGGGCGGGTTGGAAGGGACGTTTGAAGGTCATCTTGGTAGGGACATCTTCAACTAGATGAGGTCATTCTGAGCCCCGTCCGACTTGACCGTGAATATTTCCAGGGCTACACCTCTCTGGCCAACGTGGGCCGGTGTCTCACCAGTGTCTCACCAGTGTCTCACCAGTGTCTCACCACCCTCAGCATGAAAAAACTCTTTATATCTCATCTGAGGCGCATTTAATGAGCAGAGTTGGGGTTGGGAGGATAAATGGGGGGGGAGTTTCCTGCCCCGCTGACGGCCCCGCTGTGGGTAGGTGGGGGGCAGGAGGATGCTGCCCATCCGGTGGATGCCCCCCGAGAGCATCCTCTACCGTAAATTCACCACCGAGAGCGATATCTGGAGCTTCGGCGTGGTGCTCTGGGAGATCTTCACCTACGGGAAGCAGCCCTGGTACCAACTCTCCAACACCGAGGTGAGCAGGGATGGGGAGAGGGGGGATGACGATGGTGGCGGAACCCCCCGTGGGGGTAACCCGGAGGAGGTTGAGGGGTGGTGGTGGTGGGGGGGTGGTTTACTCCACCTCCGTCCCCGGTTCTCGCAGGCCATCGAGTGCATCACGCAGGGGCGGGAGCTGGAGCGTCCTCGCACGTGTCCCTCCGAGGTCTACGCCATCATGCAGAGCTGTTGGCAGGGGGAACCTCAGCAGCGCCGACCCATCAAGGAGATCCACAACCGCCTCCAGGCCCTCGTCAAGACCCCCCCGGTCTACCTGGACATC